GCTTGAATTTCCTTCGGGATAAATAAAGTATCTATCTATCTATCTATCTATCTATCTATCTATTTGGATTCTAGACTTTTCCTGTGTTTGTTACAGGACTAAATAACTACGTAATATTTGTATATTGCTTGGGGAATCATCAGAATCAGCTTTTATTGTTTGTTGGTCTCAATGTACTTACACACAGAACAATTTATATATGTATACAATGTAAACATAAAATATATAAGTGGGTTATAGGGGAAAAAATAGGTTTAGCTTACATAAAAACAACAATAACCAGCACCACATATTGTCAAGTGTTCTGTAATTTGTAAAAATGAAATATTGAATGGTTAAAATACTATGTTACTTTATATACATGAAGTAAGTGATGCCTATAACATGTCTATATATAGCCTACAGTATATACAGTGTGCAGGGTTAAATATCATTTGTAGGTAATGTTCTACAGTTCTACTCCTAATACTACTTACGTCCACTTTATTTAACAGCAATAGTTACTAATCACTTTTTTACATTACGAGACATGTGATCAATGTATGTAATATGATGCATTATTATAAATTAAACTTGTTTTCAGCTTTTACTCCTGATTAAACCTGCCTCTGTGTAAAGACATGCTTTCTCCCACAATAAAGCGAAGGATGATTTCAGTCAAGCCCACACAATCCTCAGAAAGGATATAATCAGGCAAAATAAGTCAAATACCGGTGGGGGTGGACCGTGGGTGTGCTGGGTCTTTGAACTTAAAATATTTTATAAACTAGGCAATGTAATAAATGTATCTACTACTGCAACTGTATATGTATATTTTTACTCAAGGAGGTGATAAAATAGAGGACTTTTACTTGCAGCAAAGTATTTCTACATTATGGTATTTGTACTTTTACTCACTGTCAAGGATCTGAACACTACTTCTGCCACTGCTACTATGTGACCAGAGAAACAATAACATGCATACTGTAATCCATACAAGGCTATAGTTCACACTGTTGTCTTGGATTGTCTCATGTTTTAAGCTGTTTCTAATATTTGTAGTTAGGTGAGGTGGATAAAATATTACTGCAGACAGACAAAAAGCAGTTTACAGTGTGAGTGTAGCAGAAACCAGCCTAAGTACAGTAAAATACTAGTTGAGATTTGAATCAGACATCATAGCTATTTTGGATACAAATCATTGTGGGGACCAAAATTCAGAACATCTTAACAGATTACATAAGCATAGAAAGAGGATAGATGAGTTAATGTACACAACCACATTGTCACTACTACTTTGACATCAGTCTGTAATAGAAGAGGCACAGCAGTCTTTGTTGTGCTTTAGTATATAATAACCATTATGAGTATTGCATCATGCCATAAGGGTCAAGGACACTAACCTGAAATGGTTTGTGGACACATGGTTGGAGAGCACTTTTCAGTTGTGGATGCAAATAGTTTTTCCATTGAGGATGCAAAATGGCAAGGGATTAATGGCTTCTCATGGGTCATCAAAATAGCAAAAACATTTCACTTGAGTCATCTGAAGGTGAATATATGTAAATTATGGATTTTATGTGTATTCAAACTCGCTCGTGTGCCATCTTAGAAGTTAGCCTAGGGGTAGGGTACATTTTACTCGTTAGTAAACACTCCAACATTTGCAGCCTACTGTATAGAGCCAGAGACTTCTTGGCTCTGGGTATCAGCTCAAATAAGTCTTCTGCGGTAAAGTAACGACAGGAAAAAGTGTTGAAAAAGTCACCCTGATTTTATTTTTCAAAATCAGAAAACATTTAGGTGAAGGAAACATTGGAAAAACAACAAAAAAACATTTACATTGTAAACAAGCCAAATTGGCTCAACATTACTTGAATTGTAGAGACAACTTGAAAGCAGTTTTGACATGGTTTGCTAAAGAAAGGCACAACTTGGCAAATGCATATCGATAAGGAATGTACAGCAGGGGCCTACAAAGTACTCGGACCATTCTGAGTTGTGTAAAGTGTCCAGTGATACATTCATTACTGTTCAACTCAGCAGGTTGAGAATGAAAAACCGTAACTCAAGAATGTATCGGAAAATGTACAGATCATTGCGTTGAGAGTAGGGGGGGTGGAGGACAACTAAAATCTAAACGAGGTAGAACTTACCCCCTAAACTCAAGCATTTATGAAGTATAAATAAATTAATGATGCTACAAGTTGGTAAAATAACCTAGGAAAAAAAAAAAGTTCAGTCTGAAAATTACTCTAAATGGTTGTTTCAAACAATCTGACAGGATGGAAAAGTTAACAAAGTTGTTGATTTGCCCTTTCCCTGTTCAGTCATCACAATAAAAGCAGTGAAATGTAACTATAAAATGTAAATGTAACTACAACCTGAAATAAAGTGCAGGCATGAGAACATAAAGCATTTAGAGGCCTTCAGACCTCAGCCAACTACACTTGACTGCAGATTTACAAGTGGAATATGTTGGGGGGGGGGTGAGAACTTGACTTTCAGAAACTGATGAAAATATGAAATATACGTGTAATGCTGCACAGTACAACACATTAATTTATCAGTCTAACAGAGCCTTCATAAACAGGCTTTTGGTGCAGTGAAAGACAACAGCAACATGTACAATTCGGGTTAGGCACTTGGCAAAAAGGTTTGAGTCATTAACTACTGTATCTTAGCACCAATGCAACAAAGATGAAAGCCTATTTTATAATCTACATTATCTGAAACTGGTGACTGAACTGTTGCACCTTGATGTGATAGACAAGACGCTGGAATAATCTGCCAATCTGATCAAAAGCCCCTTCAAAAATGAGACGCACGAATGACATTTACCACTACAGAAATGTACAATGTCATAAAACCTATGGCACACAATAGGAGGGAAAGTAGTCATTAAAGATACATACTGTTAACTACACCATTATTTATGAACACAGACATGGTGTCCTTAAAAAGTCATGCCCTGAAACCTTTCCTATTAAAGTCAAAATCCTTCAAAAATATCAAGGAGACTGAATTAAAGCAGTTTCAAGTAAGTTATACATTCAAACTTCTGGATAGACAGCAAAACGAAAAAAAAACGCACAGGAAAAAAATACCCGCATATATATTTATATAAAATAAAATACAACTACAGTAGTTATATCAAGTTCAACTAAAAATAACACTTGAGAATCATTCAGATCAGGAGGAAGAGAGCTGCAGTGAAGTTACTGGAAAAATTCAAACAAACTAAGCAGAATTCTACAAAGTTTTCTCTGAATATTGATTGTACCTCATTCAAAGAGAGGGGACATTCAAAAACCGAGTTCAGGTAATAAATTGACTGATGGCTAGAAAGCCTAATTAACTGCAATTTTACCCTCCTCCATAAAATGTGGGAACTGCGATTTTGGCACACTGTCGGAGCCGTTCTTCTCCATTTCGGCCAAGGTGGCAGGCAAGCCCGAGTGCGATCCATCAATCTTCATGAGGCCTCCAGTGGATCCAATCAGGGGCCCGCCGGCAGGGCTCCCAGGGAGTGGGATGCCACCGCCCTGGATGACTGATATTTCATTGGTCTTCATGGTCAGGCCACCACTGAAGGCAGCAGCATACTGGTTCCACAGAGACGGGTCAAAGTTCATTTGTGGAGCACCGAGTTCTTTGGGGGCCTGCATAATTTCTGGCAACATCTTCGCCTCAGAGCTCATTGCCATGAGTGCCATGGGATTATCCAGAGAGAGACGCTGGCCACGCCGCGACGTGTTGTTCCACATATGAGTGCCGATGTGCACCTAAAAGACAAGACATAGTTTATTACAATCCCAACACATTATTCCCAAATACACACGGACACAAAATGGACTGGAAATGGTCTATTCAGCACTTTTCTCAGACAAATATTTACCTTTAGATTTCCCTTGGTGGTGAAAGCCCTGCCACAGATGTTGCAGGCGAAAGGTTTCTCCCCTGTATGAGTGCGCTCATGGATCTGCAAGGCGCTGGCAGATGAGAAGTTCTTGCCACAGGCATGACACACATGCTGCTTGGTTGATCGTCGCGGCGCAGCCGAGATGGAGGAGGGCATGGCTGTTCCCTGAGGCATATGGGAGCTGAACAAACCATGAGGGCCCAAAGGATTCTCCATAGGCAGCTTCATCTCCAGACTGGCCAGACTCGATGGTATCCTCATGAAAGGCATGTTACTAGGAACTGTTGGGACAAGAGTTGAAAAATTAGATCAAATCATTCAACATGACAGCCTCTAAAATACTTTTCTTCAGTAATAAACTCACCGTAGTCTCCGTTTGTGAATGGAAGTCCAGGTTCTTCTTTAATCGCTTTGGGGGTAAAGCTGCTAGAAGCTGTGAGGTCAAGGGCTCCACTCGACTCTGTGCCGCCTTGAGCACCACCATCAGACTCTGGTTTTTGCACACTATGGGGATATTCATCAAAAGCAGATTCAGGTGACTTGCAACTACTCATGTTGTTGTTTACTGGGGAAGAGGA